CCTTTGTAAATAGTAATTTCAACTAGTATAATTTTTATAGTCTTCCTAGTACTCCTCTTTTTTTTTTTCAACTACTAGAAGTTTGATGGTAAATGATTTGGGCATTGAATGGAATAATTTGTGTAGAAGAAAAAAAAAATTCTAAAATAGAAGTAGATCTAACTTTCTTAAAAATTATAAATGAATTTAATTTATGTTAACATATAAGATGATAACTTTAGGAATCTTTAGTTTAATTTATATCAACATATAAGATGATAACTTTTAGGAATCCTTAGATAAATAGTTGGTTGGGTGTGCATCCAATTTGATTTATCGATTTTCAATTTCAAAATATATTAAATTATAGTTAAAATTGATTTGGTGTATCGATTTTTGATCTATTGAAGAGTTTGATTGCTATTTAACCAATAAGAAAATGTTCATAAAACAAATATATGATTTCTCTAACAATCTGGCGTGATAGGACAATAAAGTGACTTTACGTAATGCTCATAAAATAGAAATAATAGTAACTAACATGAATAAGGTTACAAAAGTACAACACAAATAAAAGAATAATTTCCCTAGATAATCAGTCATCTTTTAGAAATTACCTAGAAATATTACGTAAAGTTTTTTTAGGACTACAATATCACCTAACTTTACCTATTTTCCTCAAAATATATTTGACACAAAAAATACATTATATCTCTTCTACTAGGAGGTCATGTCACATTATTCATTTTTTTATTATTAAAAGTTTTTAATTTTTTTTGGAAAACCCATTTATTATACTCAATAAAAAAAGATTAAATAAGGAACTATATACGAGTTCCTTCGATTCTTCAAAAAAAAATATTTGGCTTCCTCTGGTTCATCAAGGAATAAATTAACGAATTTTCGTAAGGAACTGTCTCCTAGGTGGCTTGTCAACCAAAGAAATCGGCACGAGCTAAAATTCAAGTTTTCTTTTGATTCTTTTATTTTTAAAGTATAAATTGTGAAATAATTTGAATACTTAACATGATAATTGAGTAACTTTCTTAAAATTTAGGGGGTTTTGCTTGCTTATTTTTGAATCAGATATTTTCTTTGTTTGAATTTGCCTAAGCTTTAAACAAATGTTTATAGTTTGTGTAAAAATCTTTTTATTATTATTATGAGCAAGAAAAGTTTAATTTTTTACCGTGAACAAGCAACAAATGTTTAGAGTTCGAGGAAAAATTAACGTTCCTAATATCTATTTTATCTCTAAATATTCAACTAAATATATTGTCTTCTTCATCAGTTTCAAGGAACTAATTTAATTTTTTTCTCGATAGCAAAACTATATTCCTATATGGATATAGCGGCAAATACTCGTAAATAAAATATAGGATAAAGATTTTCGCTGTAAAATTGAAGCAACTAGATTTTCATAGAGAATGGATTAATGGTCTCTTATAGATAACATTAAGATTAAACAAGTTGTCATTTACAGAATTAGAAAATTATTATTAATAAACTAAAAAATGTGACATGACACCCTAGTAGGACAGAGATAATATATATTTTTTGTATCATGTATATTATGAGGAAAATAGACAAAGTTGGGTGATATTGTAGTCCTAAAACAAACATAAGTGATATTCCTAGTTAATTTTTCAAACATGAGTGACTATCTAGGGAAATTACTCTAAATAAAAGAAGTGAAAATTGTATGTTATATCAACTATTTTTCAAATTAAATGCTACAACCATAGTTTATTTTAATTGTAATTCGCAACAAACATTTCATTTTTTTGCCATTTGATTTGGTATACAATTAGTCATTCTATACATTTCGGTATAAAATGTGTTTGTATTTGTATAAAGCGAGAGAAAAATGTATATACAAATACATATATTTTAAACATATACACTTATAATTATACAAATACAGATCTTATTTTACAAACTATAATGTATAAATGAATTTTATACAAAACTGAATAATTTGTATAAAATTGGATGTTTGTAACGAACCATACAAATCAAAAGCTCCATAACAAACATAAAATTTGTTATGAAGTGCAATTATGCAAACTATACCAATAACATACAAATATGATTTTTACGTTTGTTATATGTGAAAGTTACTCAAAAAAGAATTATGAAGATAAAATGAATTAAAGTCTAAAGGGCAAATATAATACTCTGAACAAGGTATTAATATTAATATTTAATATTTTATGTAGGGGTAAAATAGTAACTTGCTATAGCTTAATGAGCTGTTTGTTTATCCAATAATTCAATATTTAAAAATGAAAATCAAACCGATAATTTGATATTTTTTAATAAAATCATTAAATACTTATTAGCTACTAAACCAATAACAATAAATTAATAATATTTTTTTTTGAATTTATTGATCGATTTAATTTTTGTTCATCTCTAGTTAGTCAAATCTGCTAATTATATTGTTTTTAGGATACACAAAGTTTACGTGATTATATAAGATACTTAGGTGTTTCAAACATCTCAAATTGATACGATTTAGTAAATTCAAGTCAAAGTTACAAAGATATTAAGTATCAATTGCACAATTTTGATACCAAAATTCTTTAAACTTTTTTAAGCTGCTAATAAGTTTCAAGAAATTATTATGTACATGAAACACAATTACATCCACAATATCAAAACTGTATATAGTATATATTATTGATAGAAAATACAACATCTGATACTCTATTATTAGTAGATACAAAATTTATAACAAGATATCATGTATATGATATATCATTGCTTCAAATGATACATTTTTTACATGTTGTCTCTTTTAACTTTGGCACATATCTATTGATGCTACTATTCTATCCCATACAAAATTTACAAAACAATTAAGTATTAGACACAAAATAATGTATATTAAACTAAATTTATCTATAATTAAGAATCAAAAAATGTAACTAGAATTGAAAACATAACATTTTTCATTTAATGAATCATAAAATATTAAACTGGAAGTACTTCATAAAGTACCAAATTTGAGAATTAGTAGATATGAAGCATAATACTTCTCAAAAGCAAGCATCAAGAGTCTTACGGGAAGAAAGTAAATGCTTGCGTCCCATTTTTCACCTTCAACACACAACTGCACTTGTTGTTGCATCAAAATTTTGTATCTCTTCATCATTTTTATCCAATGTATCAATAATAGTGGATAATACAGAATTCTACCTCATGTTTCTTAATTTCTATGTACAATTCACCCTCATATCATTCTGAATACACAATTTAGACGAATTACCCGATCTTGATGCTTTTTTTTCAATTCATCAATACCCAATTCAGCTGCAATTGCTGAAATAAGTTATGAATGAAAGATTTTCTCCAATCACTATCACATCAATTCTTTGTCGATCATATCTAACATCACTTTACCATAATTCAGAATGCCTTAACAAGATCGAAGTATTTATTTTGAATCTTCGTGAAATTGCGTTCCAAAATTGTTTGAATCAAACTTTTACTTTTTTTTAAGAACAGGAAGAAGGTTTCACAATTTGAAATTTAAAAATTATAATTCAATTAGAGTTTTATGACTGATTGGTTGTAGGAAGAAACGTACGTGTGATTTGTGGGAATCAATTAATTTCTATTTTTAATCCCTTATTTAATGCTTAAACTGATAACAACAACTTAATAATTTAAGTATCAGGCCATAATTTAAAGTATCTTACTGCAATATTATGTACCGAGAAACACTAAAAAAAGAGATTTTTGGTAATTAATGAAAGAGTAGGGATAAAAAGTAATTTCTTTCTTATACAATGTGATTTGCCTAATATTTACAAATAATAATGGAGCCTCATACAACGATTGTTGATTGGACCTTTACCATTGTAAAAAATTTCCAAAGTCAATAGTGGACAAGTATTAACAAATAAGAGGAATATTTATTTTGTTATTTTCTTCCCCCAAGTATTTCAGCCCACTGAAATAGATAGGCATGTTCCATGTTTGGTATCCCCAAAAATATTGTTTGAAAACTGATAGGGATTCATGAGTTTGGACGAATTCATTTGTTTTTCTGTAGATCTTATATCTCTATTAGAATATTATATTATATTATATATATATATATATCGATTTTTTTCAGTTTATATTTTTAAAACCGGAAACCAAACCAAACAAAGCAATTTATTAATTTAAAACTAATCCGAAAAACAAAAAATCAATTTAATTTTATTATTCAACTTAATCCGAATAGTGCACACCCCTACAACTAGTACTAGTTGTAAGAGGGGATTATTTATTGGCATAATACATATATTGGACTCTAAAGATTACTTCAAATTTTAACTTTGACCTCCAACTTTCATAATGTACAAACAATCACTTTAACTATCCAACTTTTAAATAAATAAACACATGAGTCCTACATGACACAATACACGTAGGACACCATGTAAGACAAAAAAATGACATGCAGGACATGTGTATCTATTTATTCAACTTTTATATAAGTTTAAGTGTCTACTTGTGCACACTCAAAATTAAAAGACATAAATGCAATTCGAAGCCAAGTTTAAAAACACATTTATGTATTATGCCTTATTTATATTGTGTCTCATGGGAATGTTAAGATTTAACAATTGAGCCCTTCAGCCAAATTTATCCTAAATTCATTAATGCATTCATCTTCTCAAACTTTGGATCCATCACGTGACTAGCAAACATCTCTAATAGAAAAAAAAAACAATATATAAACATGAACATTAACTTGGTTTCAGCGGATAACTATGCCCTTCAACTTTGAGTGTGTACAAATAACACTCAAACTTATAAAAAAATTAAACAAGTAGACACATATGACATACATAGTATAATACATGTAGGACGCCACAATAGGACATAAAATTGTCATATAAGATGAATGTGTCTATTTGTTCAATTTTGCACAAGTTTAATTGTTTACTTGTGCATACTTAAAGTCAATGATCATAGTTTTCAGCTGGTGCCAAGTTAAAGATTATATTTATGTATTATGCCAAATATAGAACAAGGGAATCTTTTCCTTAAATTGATGTTAGATACATCCTCCACTTACTCTAGCAATTGATAAAACCTGGAAACAATAATCATTAATAATACAATATGCTTTAAAATAAGTGAACCCAATAAAGGAAAGCTAGTGTTGCTATTTGTAACCTACAAAAAGAACTAACTTATAACACAGCAGAAGTCTGTTAAATGCCAAATCTAGCAGGTCCTAAATTGCATCAGCTCCTTACCATATTAAGGCATTCAATATACAGAGACATCTGAATTTTGATTTACAGAAAAAGACTTCTTTGAGTTCCAAATTAGTTGAGATGAACCAGGAATGTTACTCATCATCATTTCGAGTTCTGCCAAACAATGCAATTTCCTCCTCGGCCATCTTTTTTGCAGCCCTCTTCTGCATCCTTCTGGTTTCTCTGGCAGCTGAATCAATTTGAACTTTCTCCATTACTGTACCAAAACCGGGAACTGTCCTGTTCAGCTTGTTGTACACTCGTACACTGAGGTCGTGGAATATTTGAAACAATCGCTGTGTCGAAGGAAAAAAGTGTCAATATTTTGACCTTATTGATCAAAATTAGAATGAAAAATACTCATTCTAGGACATTGCACTATAAATAACCTGTGCGAAATAGAGATCAGGCTTTTCTAAAGGTACATCAAAACTTGCCTAGTTCTAATCTAAAACTAGGAGATCAAAATCATATGAATCCACATATGACATAATGCACCAAAAAGTAGTAATACATGGACACTAACTTGTCAAAATACACACCACAAGATGACAAAAAGCCAAAAGTCAAATTCCGCAACTAACATACGAAAAAAGAAACTTGTGTTTCACAAGATCATAAAAAGGCCAAAAGTCAAATTCAGCAACCAACATACGGAAAAAAAGAACTTTTTTTTACGTTGGGATAGAGCACTTACAATGACATCCTTATTCCATTCAGCGATATATGGAGGGCCTGTTGTGTATGAACCAAGAGGCTCGCGGTACCATTCACCACCATATGTTATTTGATCCATGGCTTGTTCAACACTTAGAACCTCCCATGGCCTCAATCCAGGAATAACCTTCTCTAGTTCTTTCCTGTTTCATGCAAATGACCAGCTCAGTTATCCGATTATGAATCAACCAATAAAACTTTTGTAAAAGGACTCAAGTAGTTGATACAACTGACAATCTTCCTTTTTAACGAAACTATTCTTTCGCCTTTAACTAAAGAAAATCATAAATTAAAATAGTGATATAAGGAAATTGATAGTGTTTCAGAACAGATACAATAACAATTGGTTAATGCAAAGATCAAATGATCATGCATACTTCTTCACCAACTTAGTAATAACATATGCATCGCCCTGGTGTGACGGTTTTGCTAAAGGAATCTAAACTGTTGTCTGTGAATGTCAAAATATGGATCAGCCCACTGCAATACTTCCCATGAAATGAATACACATGATGTCACTGTAGACCAGAAACAGAAATATACATATCTAAATTCTAAAAGTGCCTTGCACTTTTATTTTTTGGTTGATGAGCAGAATATATACCACTCTTTCCATAAAGTAAACATCCTTTAGTTATAATTTGTAAGAATGTATATCCTACAGCATACTGCAAACAAGCATTGCATTTGATAATATTGACAAATGGAGATAAAAACAGGGTTGTGAAAGGTGAGCCCCTTATCGCCTTTGGCGAGAGGCAACGCGACAAGGCTGAGGCGACAGAGGCGTCACCTTTTAAAAATAAAACAGGCCTGATTTACTAATTAAAAGGCAATATTAGGGTTTATTTGGTGTTTTGGACAAACAAAACTCTCTTCTCTCTTTGTTCTCTCCAGTTCGCTTCGCGACCTTCTTCTTCTTTCTTCTTCGGTTCTCTGCTTCGTGAATTCATCAACTATGTTTTTAGCACTTTCTTCTTCTTCTTTCATGCTCTGTTTTGAAATTTCTGTCCGCACTCAGCACTCAGCAGTGTGCAGTCTCTGGTTTTTTAGAGTTCTAGTATTGCTTGTCAATTGTCTTGTGAATTATTGAGTCATTCAAGTTCTGGACTTTGGTATCTACTATCTACTAGTAGTTTCTGAACTGAAATATTTGTTAATATGTTATTGCTATTGTTGACGTTTTGGATATTTATATATGCAATTAAATATTTTAAGTTCCTGGTATTAATTGGTGCCTCAATTCAAAAAGATGAGTGCCTCGTTGCTCGCCTTGCCACAAGGCGAGGCAGACCCTTGTCGCCTATCGCCGTCCAAAACACTTGATGAGCAATAAGTTTCTGACATCAACAGTAGAAAGAAAAATGTTGCAAAATGAAATGATTCTACATACCTGAGATCTTTTGGGATATATTTGTTTGGCATGTGGTCAGCCTCCAAAATTGATGTCAGCTCTGAGCCACTAGCCCAAAGAAACATGGTATGACTCGGAATCCTTACACCAGGCCAGACACCATCATTTGCTTCTAGCACAGCCAAATCACGCCTTCTACTTTCATAAGCTTCTTCTTGCATCTGCTTATATGTCTTTGGCTCATGTCCTCTGAGAGGAACCCAAGGAGGTATACCCTTTTGTAGTTTGTGAAGGAGAGCAGTAGCAGCAGCACCTAGTCTAACTGCACTTCATCCAAATAAATGCAAGGGATCAATCATATGACAACATGGACCTCAACGTAGATGGAATGAGAGAAACAAAACCAAATACGAGAACTACTGAATAAGCACAAAAGTAACATAGCATGCTGATAAACATCTGAAGACGAATACGTAAAAAATTTAAAAGCTTGCTGGGTGTAATTTATGTTTTACTGACTAAATTCATATGAGCATATCCTTCAGAATGCCAGGGTTTCTAGAAAATCTCTCTTTTCTGATGAATTTATAGTTGAAAAACTAACTATATGCAGAGTAATCTTCATATGTTGTGAGCATTATTGCAAAGACAAACCTTCCCAAGTGGCAATTGCTTTTTCCAGACCATATACCATTCCGATGGGAGCCCATTCATCCATATCCTCACCCCAAATGAAGGTGTGCTTATCAATAATTCCAGCACCCCAAGCAGTCTTAAGCTGTATTAATTCCATAGGTCCCCTCGAACGACCTAATCGATCCTTGTAGAACCACCCACCGCTCTTCATAATGACTGGAATTCAATCATTATAACAACAGTCAGCAGTTGAAAAATAAGGATAAACAACAAAACCAACGAGTATGACAGTCTTGTTGTAACCAGCATAGCACCAGATTACCAAAGTGCAAGCTATTTAGCTTCAAATTAAAAATTAAGGTAAGTCATGATGAACTAATAACAGAAAACTAAGAATATAACTAACACATAGCACCAGATCACTCTGAACTAACAGATAAGCTAGCTTATCATAATAAGCTAATAGAACACGCTAGTTGGAACTATAAACAAACAGTTTGAGAGTAACAGATAAGCTACAAACCTTTTGAATGATATGTTTCAAAGACAACAGTGCCATCATAGTGATTTTCCACTAGGTGCATGTCGAGAACTCCTAGGTTTTAGTTCGCTTCGCCAGCCAGTAGGAATTTGTATCATTTTCTTTTCTTTTTTTTTTGAAAATGGTAATGGTGTATTCTTCAGCATTAAAGAGATGCTGGTGACCTGTATCATTTTCTTTGCAATTATATTCACTCAGATCAAATGAGAGAATGTGTGTTTTCATCACTCTAAGATCTTCTACCAGAGGGGATTTAGCAACTTTTGCTCTACCCCCTCTCAGATATGAGGGATTTCTAACTTCACAGTGCTACCATCAAAAACTATTTAATATAACAAGAATGCTTGATAAACTAACAAGTAAACACCTTGTTTTTGTCGTCAATTACAAATGAAATCAAGAACATTGTTTCTTTAGATGCCTACTGTCCAGAAGAAATCAAACAAAGACAACATATACACTACTTAAAACTTGCAAGTATCAAAAGAGCAGAATGTCCATCAAGATGACTGAATGAATCTATATGAAAAGCAGTACCAGCAGCTAATTCAAGATAAAAATCTCCAACCTATGCACCCTTACTAATTATCCCATTATTCATAATTTAAGGAGCCAGAATCCTCAGCAGTCCAAGGTGTACAAGACAAGTGAGCACAATATTTTGCCAGTAATTGGAAGAATAGCATAATCTTGACCGTATTAAGTGTAGAATGAATGTAAGCAAACTTACAATCATGATATCGCTTTTCAAGCCTTTTGTACCCAATAGCCTGTGCAGCATCAATGGGCCTTCCGGGTGGGTATGGTCGCTGGCGAAATCCCCAAAGCCCAAAAAAGAACTGCCTTGCAAAATCCCAAAATTTATCATCTGATTCCTTCTTTGTCTTTATCGCTTTTCTAGGCATTGGCCTCCCATCCAATCCAATGACATTTGGCACTGCCTTCACATAAATCAATCTCAGTAGGGAAATTCTTGAAATAGAATGGACATAGGTATACCAAATAATCACACCCATGATAATGTTAAAAATCTATTGTTGAACTCTCTTTTTTATTTTTTAACAATTATGACTTAACAAAATAGATTTACTTTAAACATATCATAGAAAAAGAACTTCAAAAAGTGCCATATGTTACCTTTAGACACCAACAGAAGACTCTCAGTCTCTCACTTGTAAAGCTATATCACACCACAACATGCCCAATGTAGTCCAACAAAGTAGGGAATGAGAAGATAGAATGTACGTAGACCTTAACACTACCTTAGAGGTAGAGAGTCTCTTTCCTCTAGACTCTCGGCTAAAGAAAAAAGCTAAATCACAATAGTCAAACATAAATTATATCATGTCGCATTTCATGTGACTATCATATTGCCAAAGTAAATATCAAGATAGTTGCTTTTACTAATTTGAGAAACAAACAATACATAAAACTACAAACTCGAAATGTTAAATGAATTGAAAATTTTTAGAATTCATAATGTGGTATAAAGTGAAATTTAAGTTTCAATTCCTACTTCACAATTTTCTTCCATTACTTACAAACAAGTTCCACAACTAACAATCCTAAGCTAATTCAGGTTCACTATATGAACAAATTAATTCTCAATACAATCCTAAAGCTAATTCAGGTTCACTATGTGAACAAATTATCTCAATATCTAGATTGGACCTTTTTCATTCGATGCTTGATATTTGGATTCTCTAACACTACGAATTCTGCAAATTTTTCACTAAACTACAATATAACAGCTTAAAAAAAGACTCTTTTCTCTGCTACTTCGATAGTCATTGAGCTAAGAATAAATACAAACTACACAGAATGTAATTTTCCGAATACCTGCCACAGTTTCTTATCTTCCTTTCTATATGGAGTCGAATTCTCTTGAAGCTCAAGCTCATTGATTTTATCAGCAATTTCTTCAGCTTGGAGCAAGAACTGAAATACTGGGTTTTCCCGAAACTCAGCGAACCACTTCTCATTCTCCTCAATCTCTTCCTTAGTTGGGTTCTCCTTTTTCTCAATAAAGGGATCCTCATTCATAATCCGCTCAACTTCTGGAGAATGTCTAAAGTCGGGTCGGGTCTCACACTCCCAATAGAACTGGTCCAGCATTTTCCGGTAATGACCTGGTTTTTCAGGAGCTGATTTGGGTTTTCTTGAAAATGGATTTGAAATAGCTGCAAAAGGTGGAGAATGTTGACGGGATTTTAGGGAATCAAAGTGGGATAGAAGATTCATTGGTTGAAATGGTGTTGAAGGTTTGTTGAACCAGTTATTGTTGAATGGATTGAAATTGAATGACGCCATGAATGAATAAATGGAAACTTGCTGTATTAATATGAAGTTTAAGGTTTATCGGGTTTGAGGTTTTAGATGGATATGGAGAAACAGAGTATTTGAAAAAGATGAAGCTGTGCGGAGTGACTGAGAAGATGAAGAAGACGAGGGAGATGTGGCCGGCAATGTATCTTTGCCTATTGAAAGTTGTAAAGCCCAATATTAAGTGATTCTTCTTTACAATTTATCAAAAAAAAAATGTATTGGATTCTAAACTTGGCTTCAAATTTTAATTTTGACCTCCAATTTTCATAATACACAGACAGACACTTTAATATTTCAACTTTTAAATAAATAAATACATGAGTACTACACGGCAAAATACATGTAGGACGTAGGACAAAAAATGACATGTAGGATATGTATGTCTATTTCTCCAACTTTATACAAGTTTAAGTTTCTACGCACACAAAGTTGAAAAGCATAAGTATGATTTGGAGTCAAGTTAAAGGGCATATACATATTATGCCAAAAAAAAAAACACCAAAAATCAAGTTGATTTTCTAAACACCTTGTTTACATAGTTATCTATATTGTATTGTATTATTAAATTTATAGCAATGGAAAATATTATCAATATTGTATGGAGCATCATCATATACTATTTCGAAACCTAATTTTTTAATTTTAAAAGTAATACTAACAGAAAATGATTCAGTAATTATAAAAAGAATATTGTATGGAGCATCATATACTATTTCCAAACCTAATTTCTTGATTTTAAAAATAATAGTAAAAGCAGAAAATGATTCACTAATTCTTAAGAAAATAGTGGTAAGGGACTAGAAATATATGCGGATAATATTGTTATAAATCGATTATGAAGTGTTTATTTCTACGTTTCTTTTATATAAAACGTATTGATTCTTTTTAGTTAAGTACTATTAGGAAATATTGATAGTTTTAAGATTTAAAATTGCGTAGGTAGAAACACCAACTTTCTTGTTTTTCAATACTTTTAATTATAACATTCTTGTAAAAAAACAAAACTTTTAGCTTCACATTAGATATCTCAATAATTCTTATTTATATTGCCAAATGTTACTTTAGTATAAAGAAAATCTTAGCCATTTGTTTTAACACACTAAATTGATATTTGTTGTCAAAAAACTTAATTGATAGATCTAAATATTTAATATAAATAATTTAAAGTCCTAAAATACAAGAAAAATTTGCTGTTAAAAATTTGGAAAAAAAATAAAGTAAACCTAGAAATGTGTAGAAGAGATTGAGATTTTACTAAATTCCTCAAGGCATGATTTCTCATGGTTATAAAAGATTTTTTCGGTAACTAAAAATTAATTATAGCTTAACATATCAAAATAAAATAAAATTAATTTAAAGAGAATTTTTGTACATTTTTGTGTCCTTACATAATAAAAAGCAACATGCTTCAACAATCTCACCAGAAATGTTAGAAGTTCAAATAATTAATAGAAGGAGATAACAATTTTTTTTGAAAAATTTATTGTAATTCTTTTAATAATATGGTAAAACATAATCATGATAAATAATATGCATTAGAACTTCACTAAAAATTACATGTTGAAGTCAGCATATTAAATATCTCACACTAATTGACATATTTATCTAGCATGTTGGTTTGATTTTTCCTTCTTAGTATAAATTTATCTTTTCAACGATTTCAATTTTCAAAATTTAACCCGATTTTTCCGAATTATCTGTTCTTATTTGTCCATTAAAGAAATATTTGAACAAAATTAATTCTTAAAAGATATAAATATATAGCTTTGAACATCAAAAAGTTAGTAGAGTGAACACTAAATAAATATAAATGAATTTTGTGGACAAGTTTAATATCTTAATTAAGTTGCTTTTATGCCAACGATTTTACAAAGTCCAAGCCAACCCACATGTGTAATTCTATAGAAGAAAGGAAATAACATCTGATATATAATAAACAATCAAAGAATCACGTGAAATTTAGCAAAATAAACTACAAAAGATCATAAATAAGAACACAAAAGAGAAATATATCTACAAAGACACAAATATTTAACATGGTTCAATCAATCGGCCATCCAACCTAATCCACAAAAGCACATGAACAATTCACTATTTAAAAAAAGTATAAAATATCGAAAAAAATAATCGCACAAAAAAATAAAAAAATGTTCACTAAAGTAATAACGTAACACTTTGTCTCACAATCCCCTTAAATAAAAATTAAATAAAAATCTCAAACCCTTTAAGACTACATTGTCGAACATAATTGACTTCTTAGGAAAAATTACACACTTAGAATTGAAAAAGAAATGCACAAAATTAACACTTGAGAACATAAATTCTATCTCCAACATGAGAAATCTAAATATCAGTTTTCTTTTAAAAACTTACTACTAATTTTGAACCCAAGGAAGTATATCAGATTAACAATATTGTGTCCACCACACTTGCTACAAAATTTTGAAAAGATTACAGTGCCAAAACTCTGTTGAATGTGACGAAAGTTGCTATAAAAGTAGGTCATAATGATTCCTCCCACTATAAAGGAGCCTCACAACCTTCCTGGCCTTTCTGTTTTTCGAACCTTTACGGAACTCAGCTCCATATTCTGCAATTGGAATGAAACCAGAGCCCCTTCCTCCATGCTGCAGTTTCATCGCAAAAATTCATTAGAAAACATTAAATCAAACATTATCAACGAACAAACAAGAGAGGTTTAGGAGTACTTTTAAGAGCTTAGATATTACTTACTAGCTAAGAAAACAAAGGTTTGACAACTTTCAACCATTACGCAATTGTAGTCTTACGGTCTCAGCCTTGATCGATCAACTAGGTATGCATGTCTTCAAGGTGAAAATGACATTTTCAACCTCTTTTCCACATTATGTCAGGACTTACTGCAAATGCAGTACCTATATATATATATGGTTTTACAAGTCAAAAGCAAACGCCATAGATAAAATGTATCCAATCCCTACCAACAACAGCACATGAGAGAAAACTAGAGACGAACCTAGATCCTGGACCACTAACTCATGACAGGATAGAGTGGCAATGTACACACCAAAATGAACTGAAGATATCTCATATCTTCAGTCACTTTTTTCTATTCAAACTAAAAAGAACTTTTACTTTATTTGTGTTTCTTTCAAGCATTCGTCATCCATTAAATGTTATTTAGGATGTTATCTTGCACTTCATTTCTCTCTGCTTCATGATGTTAAAGAGTTAATATTTTTTCTTTTAAAGGAGCAGAAGCTAAGGGAAGATTGGCTTATTAGCCTGGGAAGATTGAATGCCTCCATATTCAATCTCAGTAAGTGTATACTGACATATCTCACTCACTATTGTCAACAGAAGCTTCCAAAGTTGAATTGGTAAAATTTCATGGGCTTTTGCTGCCTTGTTAATTTCTTTTTGAGTATTAGTAGATTAATTGAAGGAGAAACTGCAATGATAGTCTAGCGCAAAAGAAGATGATGGGGAAGATGCGTAGCCGTTAGCTTGTTTTGAGAGTCCTAATGCAATAAGAATTCAGTATACTGAGCGGAATGAGATTCTGCAGAGCCTACTTTAGTTGATGGCAAGGAGAAGAGGTATAATTGGACAACAATACCCAAAATACTTTAGCCGATGTTGTTAATGTATTCATTGATAGGCTAGATAAGCTTTGATTTCTGAGCAAGAAGTCCTTGTTATGACTACTTCAGAAGTAAATCTTTTGAAGCAAAGGGAAGTACCTCCTGTTCTGGTATGTATACCATAATTGGCTGGCAACACAACTTCGATAATACCTGATGAACAAAGAAAGATGATCTATCAGCATAAGTGAGGAAATGTAGCTAAATGTAAGTGTCCTGCTTGTGATGTGTGAAACAGAGTATTATCGATACACTTCCTATAGAAGCACTACCAGAAACTATCTTTTTTCCCTCATTAACTAGAAGGAAATTGGTATGGACATGCCAAGTACTATACAATTGAAGAAATGAAAAGATTGAGCAAACCAAAACAACTAATAGTCCTGAAAGAATGATTGAGAATCTCATAAGAACTTCCCTATCTAACAACTAAACATGGATTGCCAATGGTTACATGGCAATAGAGGATGAAGATAAGAAACAATTGGATATTCAAGATTAGAAGAATTAAGGTTAAAAATATGCTCACCAATAGCTCTGACTCTCCTCCCCGGAAATCAGACCGTCCGATACGTTGGCAATATCTAATAAAATGAATCGAAGTACTGAGAAAGTATTCATATCCAACTGGTAGTATTATCATGAAGTGCCTAAAATTGAGAGATGAAATATCAGGTTCTCCAATGCTTATAAAGCCTCACCGTCTCAAAGACTCCTCAACTGTAATGGCAACCAAGGCCTCTTCATATTTAAGACGTTCTTTCTCATCATCACAAATAGCCTCCTTTACAGCCATCCTTAATTCATCTTTTACAAAAGGGAAAGAAGATTTTTTCATCAACTTCAGGGAAACAATCACACAAAATGAAACAGAAGAGAACTGATAGCTTCCCCCAGTGTATCAGGAGAATTTTTTTTGAGATCACTTAATATGTGGAAAGCATAGTTTCCTAGTGAAAAAGAAATCATAAATAAAAGGGAAGTTCATAAATTTGACTAGTTAGAGAGATACTATGAAGCTTAACCTTGTTGGTATAATTAATGAGTAGTACAGAAATGATCGATGAAAACCTTGTGGACAATATTACCTGCATCATCTCTTTCATCTCGAGGGTGAAGTTTCACGCCTTTGTTGAAAGCCATCCCTTTTACCTGATTTAAAAATAACACCAATTCCTCAGAGAAACAAATTATTGCTTCAAAGTTCCAAGGCACTAAAACATTTTAGGTACAAATAGCATGAAGTACAAAATGGATATATATCACACTTTTATCCCATTTTTTCGTCATGGTGCTTCTAATTTCAGATTTCTTACCATATGTGAAGAGAACTTAGAGCACGTTCCATAATCTGATGATAAAGAGATAATAAGATTCTCAGAGTTCCTTCATGATTGATGGGATTTTTAATTTTCAAGTCATTTTGAGTTCAGATATTTATGGTTTTCAAATGGGAATCTTCTATTGTTATGAGTTAAGCTGAAAACACAAATCCTTATCTCTCTCACTTTCAGAAACAAAGACCCTAGGGAAGGTTAAGATTGCATA